GCTACTCCTTCGCGTCGAAAGGAGTCAGCTGAGGTGGTTCGGGCATCTAATTAGGATGCCTCCTGGACGCCTCCCACTGGAGGTTTTCCAGGCACGTCCAACTGGGAAGAGACCCCGGGGAAGACCCAGAACACGCTGGAGAGATTATATCTCCCAGCTGGCCTGGGAACGCCTCGGGATCCCCCAGAATGAGCTGGAACATGTTGCCGGTGAGAGGGAGGTCTGGGTCGGCCTGCTTGACCTGCTGCCACCGCGACCCGACCCCGGATAAGCGGTGGAAAATGGATGGATGGATGGATGGAATGCTTAACAGCATTCCAACAATAACAATACTAGTTCCTTAATGAAAATTGTAAGGTGTAGTGATTGCTGTTTGTCTTAGAGCAACATATTTTGATGATTATCGGGATAATATCGTTAATCACAAATATTTAAACCAGGATAATCGTCCCATGCGTACCTCCCTATTTTGTCCGTCTGATAAAAAACTGCTAACCTCAATTTGCTGTGTTTGGCAAACAGGGCTGACTCGTAGTAGACCTGGCTCAGCCCTCCTCCAGCCAGCCCTCTCTGACGCTGGACCAGGCCAGCCAGCATTTGCAGAGTGCCGTAGCCGAGGTCCCGACTGTCCCGGACCCTGTAGTGGGCTCTCAGTGCTGTTTCAATGTGGGAGAGCTGGGAAAAGGAAGGTGAATGTTTAATGTTCCTGTCACCTGCTAGAACATTTATTATACTGGGAAACAGAGAAAATGAAGAGCTTTGTTGTAGTACTTAAAAGGTATATGTTTTAACAGCTGCGTGTGTGCCTTTAAATGACTCACTTCATCTGTATCAGTGGATGTTATGTCCCCACACTGTGTGATGAACTCAAACACATCTTGTCTGGTGGGTCTGAAACCACTGCCAGTAAGTTCCATGCTGCCGCTGCCCAGAAGCAAAGTAGAGCCCAGTGTGTCCTGCAGCAGCTGCACACAACCACAGACAGGATGAATTAGTATCATATCCCTGAGGACAAAATCAGGAGATCTAACAGTCTGACAGTAAACAAACTAAAAGGCTTTTGAGATGAAAAAACTTGTACCTGAACGTGTTTAACCAGAAACTCCAGAAAGTTGCCCTGCTCTAAAGAGAGGAAATCTTTGACATGGAAGTGTTTGGTCAACTTTCTCTCCAAAGAGGCCATGTGGGCCAAAGTGATGGCTGTGTTCTGAGAGGACAGGCTGTCTTTAAGGTACTGCTTCACTTTGGCTGAGAGAGACAAAGAAATCATAGACTATCATAGTCTGGACCAGACACATCAAGAGGACATTATCAGATTAGTTCATATGTGGGGCAGAAACACTATATCCTGCATTAATACCTTCACTGGGGAGGGAGGTGGTGGGTTTGTCCTCACTCTTAGTTTGTTCTGTGGTGTTGGGTGCCTTGTCTTTGGGCACCAGGTCCAGTGGGACGGCCAGCGAGCCTCCACAGATGGCTAGCTGAAACAGAGCCTTTGCCAGCCGGTTACCCGACACCTGCAGAAGGAAGCTCTGGACGTGCTGGATTGGAAATTAAACAAAGGTATGTGTCACAGACATGGCATTACAAATGACTTTTGAGAAAAATATCACATCTGACCCACTAGAAGTGTGTAGTGGTGTCTGTATTTCTGTATTTTCTCTTTTCTTATTATTTAGCTATGTTCAAAACTCTTCTAGGTCAGCAAAGACAATTTGGATTCCTCGTGATGGTGTAACCTCCAGATAGGGGGATACACGAATGGATCATCATCCATCCATCTTCATGATTATTAAAAATGCCTACTATGTTTGATAAGTTGGATAAAGATAATTTCAGAACATGTACAAGTAGACGACTGTCATAAAGAGTTAACCCACAAATCTAATGTCGAGCCAGAATTCATTAGATAAAATTAACCTTTTATTTGAATTCCTTAACGATTAAGAAGAAAGAAGAAACACTTTATTGATCCACGAGGGCGATCACTTTCACTTTTACTTACACATTATATACACACACACACACACACACACACACACAGGGTTGAAATACACACACATGCACAAACAAGAACTATGCAGAGGAATTAATGGAGATGTCAGAGCGGGGGGCTGGACAGGCAGTTGGAGGGTTCAGTGCCCTCGACAGTGACCCTCTGGTTTCCAAGCTAAGTTCCCACGGACTGAACTACTGCAGCAGGGTTAAGGGTGACATTTTGTTGTTGAACTGGAGAGGAGCTCTGTAATTCTTTGTTATCCCCTCAAGGCTCATGGTGGGAGGCTTAGCAGAATTAACACCCAGCAGCTTAAAGTAGCAATTTAAGGACACAGAACCGGGGTGTCATAACCAATGAGCTCCCAAAAGCCTCGACACAAAACCCCCACACTGCCACTGAGCCAGCGTGTCTGATGCTGCTGAACAAGCATCAGATAAATTAACAGAATACACCTGTCGGTGTGTAGAACCCACCTTAGCCATCTTGGGACTGAACACCCCCTCTGCGTTTGAGAAGACTGCCAGCGACACCTCGGCTGCCGGCATGGAGGCGTAATTTCTCCTGAGGTCTAGGCTGCCTGTGGAGGAGAAGGAACCTGCTCCTTGCACCGGCTCCAACACGCTCTTTTTTATCTTTCTCAGCCGCTCGTAGGTTTCCTCCTCCAGCTCTTTCTGGATGAGCTCCCTGGCTTGCTCCATGATGGAGTGTTCACATCGACTCACCTTCAGTATGGTCTGAAGGGGACAGAGAAGGATTGTTAAACAAGCAGAGTTTCAAGTTTTATAAAAACAAAGCAGGGTTTATTGAAAGCCCGGTGGCCCGCTGTACCTAAGTGGACTCCCTGTCTGGCTTTAGCATTGGGAAAATGTCTTTATGTTTTTTGAACCAAAATGTGTTGTAGAAGTATCAAACTCCTTTAAGCAATAACTCAGTGCGCAGGTTGTGTGTGTAATATTAGCGAGTGTGCGATCAAGAGAGCGAGAGCTTGTGTGTGGCAGTGAGAATGAAGTTAGCATAACACTATAGCTTTGAACGTAGCAGTGCTGTGTGTGTACGGTTCAGGCTATTGGTTGGTTAATAAATGCAGCAACTCCTTAAGACCCAAGCTAAGTTCCCATGTCTTTCTTGCCACTTGCTGATTAAAGTGACTGTGTGATTTTTTTTTTTATGGAACTGAATAAGAGTACTGCTGTTGCAGGGATTTACTGAATCAGATATAGTGAAAAGGAAAATAACTGCAGAATTTAAAAAAAACAACTAGAGAAAAAAAAAAAGGATAAAGTTTGAAAACACTTAGAAAAAAAAACGAGAAAAATCAATTTTCTTGGTGAAGAGGGAGCTGAGCCAGAAGGCAAAGCTCTCAATTTACCACTCGGTCTACGTTCCTACCCTCACCCATGGTCACGAACTCTGGGTCGTGACCGAAAGGACAAGGTCGCGGCTA